GGTGATGTTGGTGTGTGTGTGTGGGTGATGTTGGGGTGTGTGGGTGATGATGGTGTGTGTGTGGGTGATGTTGGGGTGTGTGGGTGATGTTGGGGTGTGTGGGTGATGTTGGGGTGTGTGGTGATGTTGGGGTGTGTGGGTGATGTTGGGGTGTGAGGGTGTTGTTGGGGGTGTGTGGGTGATGTTGTGGGTGTGTGGGTGATGTTGAAGGGTGTGTGGGTAATGTTGAGGGTGTGTGGGTGTTGTGGGGGGTGTGTGGGTGTTGTTGGGGTGTGGGGTGTTGTTGGGCGTGTGTGGGTGTTGTTGGGGTGTGTGGGTGATGGATGTGGGTGATGTTGTGGGTGTGTGGGTGATGTTGGGGTGTGTGGGTGATGTTGGGGTGTGTGGGTGATGTTAGGGTGTGTGGTGATGGGGTGTGTATGTGGGTGATGTTGGGGTGTGTATGTGGTGATGTTGGGGTGTGTGTGTGGGGATGTTGGGTGTGTGTGTGGGTGATGTTGTTGGGTGTGTGTGGGTGATGTTGGTGTGTGTGTGGGTGATGTTGGTGTGTGTGTGTGTGTGGAGTGTTGGTGTGTGTGTGGATGATGTTAGGTGTGTGGAGTGATGTTGGGGTGTTTGTGGGTGATGTTGGGGTGTGTAGGTGATGTTGGTGTGTGTGGGTGATGGTGTGTGGGTGATGATGGTATGTATGGGTGATGTTGGTGTGTGGGTGGTGTTAGTTGTGTGTGTGGGTGATGTTAGTGTGTGTGGGTGATGTTGGGTGTGTGGGTGTTGGTGTGTGTGGGTGATGTTAGGTGTGTGGGTGATGTTGGGGTGTGTGGGTGATGTTGGGGTGTGTGTGGGTGATGTTGGGTGTGTGTGGGTGATGTTGGGGTGTGTGTGGGTGATGTTGGTGTGGGTGATGTTGGGGTGTGTGTGGGTGATGGTGTGTGTGGGTGATGTTAGTGTGTGTGGGTGGTGTGTGTGTGGGTGATGTTGGGGAGGGGTGTGTGTGAGGGTGATGTTGGGGGTGTGTGTGGGTGATGTTGGTGTGTGTGTTGGTGTTGTTGGTGTGTGTGTGTGTTAGGGTGTATGGGTGATGTTGGTGTGTGTTGAGGGTGTGTGTGGGTGATGTTGGGGTGTGTGTGGGTGATGTTGGGGTGTGTGGGTGAGGGTGATGTTGGGGTGTGTGGGGATGTTGGTATGGGTGATGTAGTGGTGTGTGATGGATATGTATGGGTGATGTTGGGTGGTGTGGGTGATGTTGGTGTGTGTGTGGGTCGGTGTGTGTGTGGGTGATGTGTCGATATTATTATTGGGTGATGTTGGTGTGTGTGGTGTGTTGGGGTGTGGGTGATGTTGGGGTGTGTGTTGTGTGTGTGTGGGTGATGTTGTGTGTGTGTGTGGTGTGGATGGTGTGTGTGTGTGTGGGTGGATGTGGTGTGGGTGTGTGTGGGTGGATGTTGGTGTGTGGTGTGGTGTGGATGTGTGGTGTGTGTGGGGGTGTGGTGGGTGTGTGGTGTGTGGTTGGGTGTGTGGGTGGTGGTTGTGTTGTGTGGGGTGGTGTGTGGGTGTTGTGTGGTGTGTGTGTGGTGTGGTGGTTGTTGTGTGGGTGTGTGTGTGGTGTGGTGTGTGTTGGTGGGTGTGTGTGGTGTGGGTGTTGTTGGGGGTGTGTGGGTGGGTTGTGTGTGTGTGTGTGGGTGATGTTGTGGGTGTGTGTGGGTGGTGTGGGGTGTGTGTGGTGTGGGTGTGTGTGAGTGGGTGGTGTTGGGTGGTGTGGTGTGGGTGGGGTGTGTGGGTGATGTGGGTGGTGTGTGTGCTGGGTGGTGTGGGTGGTGTTGGGGTGTGTGGGTGGTGTTGGGGTGTGTGGGTGGTGTTGGTGTGTGTGGGTGATGTTAGTGTGTGTGGGTGGTGTTGGCATGTGTGGGTGATGTTGGGGTGTGTGTGGGTGATGTTGGTGTGTGTGGGTGATGTTGGGGTGCATGGGTGATGTCGGGGTGTGTGTGGGTGATGTTGGGGTGTGTGGGTGATGTTGGTATGTATGAGTGATGTTGGGTGTGTGATGACCTGTGGTGTAATGGTCAGCATGCTCGCCTCACAAGTGAGCGGACCCGGGTTTGATCCCTGGGCAAAGTGAAACTAAGGGCAAGTTTCTTTATGCCATTTGCCTCTGTCTACCCAGCAGTAATTGGGAACCTGGATGTGAATTGATCTGCAGATCGTGTTCTGGGGTAATGGTTAGCCAGTGCAGTTGGCAAGTTGTCTGGTCTTCTCGGACTACAGTAAAGCCTCGAATAACGACTTTAATGTGTCCTCCAATATTGCAGTGTAAGGTGAATCATCGTATCGCGAATCATTAATTACCATTAAAATAAAGCAATAATAATGAGATGTGTTCCCAAGTGTGACCTTTTCATATCTTTTGTGTGGCTTTTTACCCTCTTTTCCCCCAAAACATTACAATTAATGAAAATTGCAAACTATACTCTTTCAATAATGTTTCTGAATGCACCTTATACTGTACAAGAGGAGATGGGACGCCATTGTTTTCGTTTGTGTTTACAGCCGGGAGTCCGGGACGATAGTTCTACACGAGAAAATTAAGAAAATAAGACCCTGGTTGTAGCTGTAGTAAAAATAATGTAAGAAAATGAATATACATGTTTTAAGTAACGTTATTTAATGTTAATAAATGGAACAATAGAAGTAGCCAACCACTAAAGGCAAAGAAAAAAAAGGGATGGATTGGGAACGCCAACATATACGTGCGCATTTAAGGATACCGCGTCATTTATCTTAAGAATATGTACAAAAGATTCATTATTGTTTATTAATGAATATGTATTTCATTGAATTAAGCTTTATATATGCAAAATGAACAATACAATTCATTAATAATACGTAGAATATTAAAACACACAAGAGGATAAGAAACGGTATTGTTGTCAGTGTTTACACCCATAATGTCAATTATCCGCCTGAAACTGAAGAAAATAAGACCTTGGTTGTTGTTGTAGTAAAGTTAATGTAAAATTATGTATGTTTTAATTAATGTTATTTAATGTACAGTAGAAGTAACCACTGATATTAAAGAAAAAGTGAGACTGATAGTGAAATGCCAATGTATAAGTGCGCACTCAAGGAAACAGTCATTTATCTTAAGAATATCTACAAAAGATTCATTATTGTTTATTACTGAATATGTATTTGATTGAATTAATGTTTATGTATGTGAAATGAACAATGCAATTCATTAATAATAGGTATAGTATTAAAACACACACGAGGAGACAAGACGGCATTGTTTTCGTGTGTGACGATGGTTCTACATAAGAAACTGAAGAAAATAAGACCCTGGTTGTAGCTGGAGTGAACTTAATTTAAAAAAATTTAATACCTGTATGTATGTTTTAAGTTATGTTATTTAATGTTAATAAATGGAACACTAAAAGTAGCTAACCACTAATGGTAAAGAAATAAAGCGATACGATTGGGAACGCTATTGTATGAACAGTAAGTGTGTACATGTGAAAACATATCATCATTTCTCTACATATGAATATGAAAGCAACAATTATTTACCGTTCATATAGTTTTAAATAATATTTATGAATGTAAAACAAAAATTCTACTCGCCAATAGTGGTAAAGTCTAAGACATAAGGACAGCCAATGAATATTGTGCGAGTTTTTACTCAGATGACAAAGTCATCAGGTTCAACTCTGGCTGAAGCTGTAGCTTTCCATAAAGCTGTTGCTTAAACTGTTACTGAACCTGAAGTTAATGTTTAAGCTGCTTATGATGCTGAATTTGATGGTGTAGCTGAAGTTGATGGTTTAGACCTTCGGATAATTAAGATGTTGAAAGAACCTTGCACAGCTGCTTTCTTTTCTCATAATACATCTTTATGTAGAGGTCATTTGCATTTATTAAAATTTTAAGGCTTTGTTCTGTTAATGGATCCACTTCAGACAATATGTTCATTGCTTGCTCCATATAATATCCACAGACCTCTCACCTTTTTCATATCGTTTTAACACATCTAGTTTCTCAGCTAAGCTTATACACTTTCTATTAGCTTTTGAAACAACACTACCATCACTTTCTCTCTTGCTCATGTTGAATAGGGATGCAAAAATGCTGTAAGAAACCTGAGAAAGTTTTTCTCCAGTTCCTGTTCAGATGTGTGAAAACAAAAGGCCTGCCAAGCTCCGACTGTTGTTTACCACTCATTAGCAAGGCAGCTTCTTTGCGCAAGGCGCTCTTCATTTTTTTTACTGTATTTTTTTTTTATTATTATACATATTGGGATTTAGTTATTGTTTGTATGAAAATGTAATTTAATTTCATTTTTATTATATTTTGGTCATAAATATGAATGAAATAAGAACATAAATTAAATTGGGTCCTAAATTAACTAGAGTCTTAAATAATGGAAAGTTGTTGGTCGAACCGTTTTTGTCGGAGGCTTTACTGTATTCCATGACACTGGGTCATGCAACTCGTTAACTTAAGGTGTGGTTGTTGTGTTGGCAACAGCTTCTACACCTTAAACAAATTCACGCCACGGTGGCTCTTGGGCCGGCCATCCTCGTACACGAGGGGCAACCATTATTATTATGTTGTGTGTGTGTGTGTGTGTGTGTGTGTGTGTGTGATATTATGGGGTTATGGGTAGTCTTGGGGGTGTGTGTGTGATGTTGGGGGAGGAGGGCTAACGAGAGGCTTCTTAGTGTACAGTGGTCCCCAAAATCCCCACCCTCCCCAAAAAAAATTGGTAAACGCCCGAACAATCGGCAAGTCCGGTCGGATCCCCTTTCCCCTGAAATTGTCTGGACTTTCGAGGGTTTACTGTATTTTCTTTTACATACAGGATACAGGAGTCTAGAATAAGAAATAAATGACAGTAATTATAACTGGGAGATGTGTGGGGCATAACAATCTTCAATGGCTGTAAAGTACTATATAAAAATCCAAAGAGATTCAAATCAAATAACAACTTTAATAATATTAATACTTACCGCATTAACTTCCGCTTCATCATACCAAACATTAATATAAGGATGCATGAGTGCTTCATCTACACTTATCCTCCGTTCTGGGTCAATGACTAACATCCTTGATAACAGGTCTCGTGCTTGACTCGCTGCAATAATTAAAAGGAGTCCGTTATCAACACATATGTTTCCACTGCAACACAATCTTAATAAAGCATAATTTTTCAGTCATTAAAATATAAATACAAGTTAATGATCAATGAATATTAAGACTTCTCAAATTTGTATCAGGATGTTTGTGAACTACATTATAACATAACTAATGATACTGTACTGTACTCATTATACAGTATAGTATAGGTAATATAAAATGTATTTACAAAATTGTATTTGAAAAATTTTTAAGTTGTGAAAGATCTTTTCTTTCTTACATGAAAACTATTTTATAATAACTATGCTGTTTTATGTACAGTACTTAAAACCAAGCTTACATTGGTTATCTCAAGGAAAACATCTGCAGTATTAGAGAAAATGGAAGGAGCCATCAGCCTTTATGTGAAACATCATCCAAATAAACTAGGAGTCACAATCCAAGGAAAGGAATGAGGATATTACTACTGAAAGTCAATTTAAAGAATATTCTAACTCATCCTTGTTGCCCATGCTTATGGAGACAACTACATTCCAACTTCTTCCACCAAAAGAGAGAAGACTCAACACCTGAGGCTATATCAACTTGGGTTACTGCAGACAAAACAGAGAAGTCAGACATAGGTCTGCAGAACTGTGCAAGACACCATTTTTTTTTTTTTAATCACAAGAAACTGTTTGTGCTATACTATATGAAAGTGGATCTCCTGAGCATCACTACCAGTTAGGGACAAGTGAATACAGCTGAATCACATTTACAATACATCTGCTTCTCTCAATTTGATTACATATCCTTCTAGCTTATCTTCTACTTGGGGTATTTGATAAAAGTTAAATGGACACAGCAACTCATACCTGAACTTAAGCTTACAGCTGCTGTACTGAAGGTTTCCTACTTCATCCTATTGCACTAAAATCTCAACCAAGAGAAGATTCAATGTGTTAGAAGGTTCCCATTTCCCTTTACTTTTACTCTCTTGACACATATTCTAAAACCTGGCCTCTTTTTCTACTCAGTGGTAGTGTTTGCCTCACATGTCAATTGTCATAGGTAAAGTTCTCAACCGCAGTTCAGTACAGGCTTCAGTTCCTCCCTCGTACACTAACCCTTTGGCACTGTAAAATTTTGAGTATGCCAATGGTGGAATAATCCCTTGGTGGATTATCATTAAGTTAAAGGAGGAGGGTAACCAACTAAATGTTGAATGCCAAGAAAGGGATCATCTGTTTGGCCATGTGTGCTAAATAATGTGAACCAGGTCAAGAATTAATCTTAAAAGTAAGTAATCACTTAATATTCATTAAATGATTTATTCATTTCAGTCAACATCTATAACACTGAGGCCAGGTGAGTTAGGATACAGTTGTTCTCTTTAATATTTTACTAGATGTTTCCAAAAGATATTTGCAGTAACCTGGGCTTGAAGACAGACAAGGTATTAGTTAGGACTGAAGGTGTTTGGACGAGAGAAATACATAAGAACAATTAAACAGTGATATCTCTGTCAGCCGGAACAATTGGTGCAGAGCACTTCCGGGAATGAGAGATTTCTGGGTAACGAGATGACTCTCTCAAAGTCAGAAAAATCCCTCATCCCCGGAATTTTCTGGGTACCAGGAAAATTTTCTCGGAAGTTCCAGAAATTGTGCATTATGTCATTCTCGATCCTGGAAAGAAATCCCCTATCCCCGGGATTTTCTGGGTACCGAGAAAATTTTCTTAAAACTTTCCAGAAAATGTGCCCCTCGGAAAATTGTTCCCAAAGCCGGAATTTTCAGGAAAATTCCGACTTTGGGAACAATCTTTTTAGAAAATTTCAATTCCGGCTATCAGAGAATTCTAGTTAAGAGGGATTCCAGCTAACGGAGATATTACTGACACATACCGTATACCAATTTGAATATGTTGATACGGTTAATAAAACCACAGTACTGTACAGTACTTTAATAACACATTAATTAAATATTAATTTCATAAAAGGAGAAAATACAGCCTGAATATATGGGTATGACAGCAAAAACATCTGCCAATCCACAAACTCAACTGTCATATGCACACAGGATGGCAATACTCTACTACTAAATGGTTCCCTACTTTTTTCACTCCATTCCTCCCTTTGGGGAACCTTAAAAATTCCTATGAACCCCCATCTTTTTTCCCAAATAACCTCTAATAATAATAATGCTGTACTATAAAATTAAATTATTTTTATCAGGAGTAGATGAGAATATAGTTTTGCTTTTACCTCTTGACAACTCATATAAATATGACTCGTGTAATTAATGATACATAATATCATAATGAAAGGATTTTACATGAGTTGGGTCAGAAGGAACCATGTACCCTACTGCTTATTGGGAAGGTTAGCCCTACTATTTCTCAAGTTAGAATAAATAATAAAGTCTTTTCTAATTTCAAATATTTTGAAATTTTTCAAATTTTTCATAGTCCCCTGTGGACTATGAATATCAGGTTGAGAATCAGGGGATTGGAGTAGGTAAGCTGGGGATTAAAATTATGATAGAAGAGAAGAGTTATGAATTTAATTAGAAATGCTTAATTTGAAATGGTTATGGTAGAAACCACAGGTGATCACCAACTGCAATACTGAGCTCTTTTCAAATTGACTTGGTGCAAAACTTAATGAAGGTGTCAGGATGTACCTTAATGTGGACAAAAGAACAGATGTGGGCACCAACAGATTTATGGGGTAGTAAAACAATTTTCCTCTACTTCACTGAGATGAACTAATATTAATTAGTGACTGATCAATATAGTGACTATGAGTAATACAAATCCATAGTGCAGCGGGTGTAGTATGGAAGGGATCAATTAAAAAAACATTTTAGTAAAACTCACAATGGACTTACCTTAAATTATGCACTAGTTATTTTTTTCCAACTCAGCCACCAGTCCAGTACTGCTATATGCTTGTAGTACTTAGTAATATGTAGCCTTGATAATAATGATGTGTTTTATATATCCTCAATACAATTAAAATAAAATACGTGTTAACTTTCTGAAAGGTTTACAAATCATTTTTACATTACTTTCCTGAATATAAATAAATAGCAACATTACTTTATAGTTATCAAGGTCGAAGCAAGTTTTCCTCAACATGTCCTTTTGCAATATAAAGTGTCTACCCTAAGCAATTTCTTTTATTGAAAGTGATACCATGACATTCATTTCTACATGGGACATGTTCCTTAGTGGTTCTCACTATTCCAAGTTTGCTGATTCTCTTTCTGTAGTCTTCATATTCTTCCAATCTCTCTATATCCTGTTGGTCAGTTTCCCAAAGTAAATTCCTAAAGATATTCCAATATGTTGATAGAATTATTAGTTTCTTTTAATCTATGTTTAGCAGGATTTTTTTATTCTGTACACATTTTATTACCAATGATGATGATGATGATGATGTACCCAGCCTACTACATAACAGTTATACAATAATGCACCGGACTTTGTCGAAAGCTAATACTGTACTGTACTATAATTGTATGTAGTACTGTACATGTAAGTTAAGCAACCATTAAGACTTTCTACAAAACTAACTAAAGGTATCAAATCCTTGATTGACTTTTATAAATAGTGCACATCTTAGAGACCAGTGTGGGTTACTCTATACCTGGTAGATGTGTAATCAATAATCATACCCCAAACAACAAAATGTAATACAGTATGTATTGTATCATCTGGCAGTAACATTAAATTTCTTCAATTTACTGTTAAAACTACTCCCATGGGTAACTCGATACACCTTAATTTTTAATGCAGAAGTATAATATACAGTTCAAGTAAATCAGAAAAACTTACAAGCATCTGGATGAGGCCAGAAGTCTGGGAAAATTACTTTCTATCAGTGACCACTGATAGTTACCCTCGAGTACACCTGCTGTACCAAACTCAGTCTTTACTATTTTTTGGGGGACTAATGCATGATAATAATAAAACTAACTAAACAAACTGCCACCTCCTGCCAGATGGTGTCTTCTTCAAAGTTGTCTCGCTGACCTTTTCACCCACAAAACAGAGTAGCTCTAAGAGTTTCAGATGAATACTTTATATATTCCAAGTAGAAAGTCCTACCATTCTTGAGGCATGATGTGGATATACAGTGTCACACAGAGATCAGTGACCACCCTAACATCAAGGAAGTATCACAGCAATAATTACAGTGTCTAAGATTGGCATGTTTGGAAATATTAGTCTTGCTTTTTCCTGCACATAAATCAATAAATGACACACAATACTGTATACACCAACACCTTCAGATACCAAATTTTGTGGGTTGTTTATAATATACTTCTTTGGAAAATTAGGATTGTACAGTATATCAATATGATTTCTTCTCCTAATCTTACTTTGTCACTCATGAGAATTAAATATAATTTGAAATATTTTTGTGCCTATACAGTAATTTAAAATATGTAATATTACTAGGCCAAATAATTAATTTATCAGGTACTGATCAAAGGACATTGGCTGCAATTTATAATTGTATTTTCATGTCACATGAATGCTTCTACGGTATGAAGGTTATTCAGTGTCATCAATGTCATACATCACAAGGATCATTTTCATCAAGACTACATAATGGAATTGCAGGTGGACTTCTACTCCAGTAAGCACAGAGCACACCATGCTAGCTCTCCTTAAACCTTGACATATGCAGCCTCACCTCTGATCCAGTAGTAGTTGTGTTGCCTGGGCCAATATCTATCGCTGCCCTCCTCACCTTTGAGTCGATTATGATCCGTGGATTCAGCAGGGAAAAGGACATCAGGAAAAAGGCGATCAAAGGAATATCCAGGATAGCGGGGACGGTTTTCCACGTAATTACGAACTGTTGGCTGTAACCTTGACATAAAATCTTGTGACGGAGTGCCCAGTTGTTCTGTAATGTAAAAAGTTGCCAAATAAAATATGCACATTGGTAAACTGGAGTATTTCAATAACAGTAAGTATATATTGACCACTGAACTATTAGGAATAGAGATGTGCCGAAGTATCGGTATTGGGGTATCGACTAATTTTAGAGGTAACAGTGAAAATTGGGCCGATACCAGCCAATACTTTGACCAAACTTCCAAAAGTGGAATAATTTAAAATTGCAATAATAAGAAAATTAACAAATTAACAAATATTTTTGGTTTGAATTTTTTATCTGCATTGTTTGATCTGTGAAAACAGTTAAACTTACAATTTGAAAATAACAAAAATAACAAATACAGTCAACCCTCACTTTACGTGGTTAATTCAACCCACAGGGTACCGCGAAAAGTGAGAAACGCGTAAAGTGAACAACATAACATATGGGATTAATTGAAATAGAGACCGGGCCGACCCCCAAACTCCACTTTTTGACGACACACAACTATGTTGTAGTAAAAATATTATCTTAACTTTATGATGGTATGCACACACAATTAATAATTAAGAGAAATATCAATAATATTAGGTTTTTTAACACTTACATTAGTAGAAAAGCTGGCTGGGCACATGGGGATGGGCGGTTAGTTCCGAGGCAGAGGGCAGATTATTGGCCCTCACCTGTATCACTATCCACCATAGAGGCTTGCAGGGCCTCTTTGTCAAACCCCTCAAAGTCTATATAAGTCCATATCCTCACTATAATTATCACTATCACTGACTTGGGCCGGCTGTGGTGGGTGAAGAACTCGGTAATGTTTTGATGACTGGGCGACCTTGTGCGCACCATGCTCGCGCCGCTTACACAACATGGCGGATGGCGGGAGAGGGCGGGAGAGATGGCGGGAGGTTTGGATCCAAAAATGGCGTGGCTCGCCAGCCGCTCTCCGCGTAAAGGGGTACACGCACCGCAGAATGTGAGCATTCCTGTTTCGGCAGGGTACCGCGTAAACGTGGAAACTCGGAATGTGGGACTGCGTAAAGCGAGGGTTGACTGCATACATAAAACTATCATATGTAAATATTATTATTGTTAATATTTTTTACTTTTTCTTATTAAATGTTTGCTTACATTATTATGTTTTGTAACCTCATAAAAAAAAAAAAATATATGTATATATATACAGTTGTACCCCACTTAACGCGGTCAATAGAACCCAGAGGGTCCCGTGTTAAGTGAAATCCGCGTTAAGTGAACAACAGAACATATGGGATTAATTCCAATAGAAACCAGCCCGACCCCCAAACTCCACTTTTTGAAGACACATAACTATGTTGTAGTAAAAATAACATCTTAATTTTATGATGGTACATGCACACAATTAATACTTAAGAGAAATAGAGAAATACAGTCGCCAAGTTAATGTCCATTCAAATAATGGACTCAACTCCCTCCCCCTCTTCTCACACTACACTGCTGGCTCTTCCCTCTCTGAGAAATTTTTTGGGGAAAACCACTAAATTTTAATAAATAATACCTCAAACTAAAGTTAGGATAATACATTTGACATTGCTGGATTCCTTGTAAGACCAGGAATATTTTGAATATAAATGTCATATATTTTGCACAAAAGATAACATATTTACTAGAGAAAACATTTTATCTAAAATTTGTATGTCTAATGCAAAATATATGATGTTTATATTCAAAATGATCACCAAATTATAAGAATTCCAGCAATGTAAATTATATTCTGGCCGGGTAATTTGTATGAATTTTATGAGCTAAAACAAATATCTTCAGTTAATAAAAAAAAAATATTCTTCAGGACACTATCTGTCAATCAAAGTACCCCACCTTGCCTCCCCCCTCTTCCAACCGCGCGGTCAGTCCCAACCCTCCCCCCCACCCCCCACCAAGAGAAAGAGTGGGTGAAAAAAATAAATTTTAACATTTTGTATTAAATAATACCTCAGATTAAAGTTAGGATAATATAATTGACATTGCTGGATTCCTTGTAAGACCAGTAATATTTTGAATATAAATGTCATATATTTTGCACAAAAGATAACATATTTACTAGAGAAAACATTTTATCTAAAATTTGTATGTCTAATGCAAAATATATGATGTTTATATTCAAAATGATCATCAAATTATAAGAATTCCAGCAATGTAAATTATATTCTAATTTAAAATTGGCCTACCTAATTTAGCAATTAATTAATTATAATCAGGCCTGGCGATTATTTACAAATACAGTGGTCCCTCGGTTAATGAACGGTTTGATTAACGAAAATTCGGTTAACGAATTAGTTCTCATAAGGATCTTCAATTCGGTTAAAGAACAAAACTTCGATTAACGAAATCCTTATGACAAACAAGTTTTGTTGTGAGCATCAGCTGATCGGCTAGTCCGCCAATACAGTAATCTATTTTATGTTTGCATTCGTTTCCAGTGGAGAAAATATCAAGAAGGTTGTGTTCTTGAATATTTTTGCATTTTCTATATTAAAATTATTGGGTCTAGGACAACTGGCCGCAGCCCAACTGGCCGCGGGAAACTCGCCATGGCCGACTGGCCGCCATATGGAACTTTTTGTTGACAAAATTGATGAAAGTGTGATAAAAAAAGAGGATTAAAATTTCTTTATGAAGTACCTAACCTAACCTAACCTAACCTAACCTGCCTTGAGAGCGCAAAATTAGGCGTTTGCAGTTTACCCCCAGTCCGCGGCGGCCAGTCGGCCGCGGCGAGTTTCCCGCGGCCAGTTGGGCTGTGGCCAGATGGCGGCGGCCAGTTGTCCCATTCCCAAAATTATTGGTCATTCTAAAATTCAGCCATCCAAGCTCTTCTCTATAAAAAGTTTTTCAACTATTATTTTTGGCTCGATATATGTAACTTTATTCATTTATTGAAACTCATTTACATGCACACACTGTCCTAAGGGTAAAGCTGAACTGTACATGTAATCAAAATAATGTGCAAAATTATTACTAAAATTTTTGTCTCGTGCAAACTATAGCATGTTTACATTCAAATTTATCACTATCTTATAAGAATTCCAGCAATGTAAATTATATTCTCCCATGTCACTTCTATGATATTTTATAAGCAAAAAACAAAACCTCTACCTAAAGGACCTAAATAAACAAATACAGTATTACCCCGCTTAACGCGCTTTCACTTAACGCGTTTTCGCATATACGCGGTGCCTTGCCAAAGCTGAACTTTCACTTAACGCGGCATTTTTCATCATATACACGGTGAGTGTCCGGCTCGAGAGCTATTTTTAGATTCGCACCACCCCCCACCCGCCACCCTGCCTGACTGCCTGTTTTAGCTCATAAAATTCATACAAATTACCCAGCCAGAATATAATTTACATTGCTGGAATTCTTATAATTTGGTGATCATTTTGAATATAAACAACATATATTTTGCATTAAACATACAATTTTTAGATAAAAATTGTTCTCTAGGTAATTATGTTATCTTTTGTCCAAAATATATGACATTTATATTCAAAATATTCCTGGTCTTACAAGGAATCCAGCAATGTCAATTATATTATCCTAACTTTAGTTTGAGGTATTATTTATTAAAATTTAGTGGTTATCCCACACATCTCCTTGGGACGGTGGTGGTGGGGGGTGGGGGGGAGGGAGGGACCGACCGACCGACCATCTGTTACCCTGTGAAGAATTATTTTTTTTTTTATTAACTGAAGATATTTGTTTTAGCTCATAAAATTCATACAAATTACCCGGTCAGAATATAATTTACATTGCTGGAATTCTTATAATTTGGTGATCATTTTGAATATAAACAACATATATTTTGCATTAAACATACAATTTTTAGATAAAAATTGTTCTCTAGGTAATTATGTTATCTTTTGTCCAAAATATATGACATTTATATTCAAAATATTCCTGGTCTTACAAGGAATCCAGCAATGTCAATTATATTATCCTAACTTTAATCTGAGGTATTATTTAATACTAAATGTTAAAAACTCTTGAATGGAGGATTGGTGGGGGGTGGGGGGAGGGTTGGGACTGACCACGCGGTTGGAAGAGGGGGGGAAGGCAAGGTGGGGTACTTTGATTGACAGATAGTGTCGAAGAATATTTTTTTTTTTTTATTAACTGAAGATATTTGTTTTAGCTCATAAAATTCATACAAATTATCCGGCCAGAATATAATTTACATTGCTGGAATTCTTACAATTTGCTGATCATTTTGAATATAAACATCATAGATTTTGCATTAGACATACAAATTTTAGATGTAAAGTTTATTCTGAGTAAATATGTTATCTTTTGTGAAAAATATATGACATTTATATTCAAAATATTCCTGGTCTTACAAGGAATCCAGCAATGTCAATTATATTATCCTAACTTTAGTTTGAGGAATTATTTATTACTATACCTGGTTTTCCCCCAAAAATTTCTCAGAGGGAAGAGCCAGTGAGTGTAGTGTGAGAAGAGGGGGAGGGAGTTGAGTCCATTATTTGAATGGACATTAACTTGGCGACTGTATTTCTCTATTTCTCTTAAGTATTAATTGTGTGCATGTACCATCATAAAATTAAGATGTTATTTTTACTACAACATAGATATTTGTCGTCAAAAAGTGGAGTTTGGGGGTCGGGCTGGGTTCTATTGGAATTAATCCCATATGTTCTGTTATTCACTTAATGCGGTTTTCACTTAACGCGGGACCCTCTGGGTTCAATTGACCGCGTTAAGTGGGGTACAACTGTACAGTAATACCCCGCTTTACGCGGTTTCACTTTCCGCGATTTCGCATTTACGCGGTACCTCGCCAGAACCAGACTTTCACTTTACGCGGTGCATCTACTCATATACGCGGGAAGTGGCGCGGGCAGGATGCGCACAAGGTCGCCCAGTCATCAAAACATTACCGAGTTCTTCACCCGCCACCCACCACAGCCGGCCCAAGTCAGTGATAGTGAGGATATGGACTTATAAGGACTTTGAGGGGTTTAACAAAGAGGCCCTGCAAGCCGATGTGGTGGATAGTGATACAATTGATACAAGTGATACAGGTGAGGGCCAATAATCTGCCCTCTGCCTCGGAACCAACCCCCCATCCCCGTGTGCCCAGCCATCTTTTCTACTAATGTAAGTGTTATAAAAACTAATATTATTGATATTTCTCTTAATTATTAATTGTGTGTGCATACCATCATAAAATTAAGATGTAATTTTTACTACAACGTAGGTATTGTATCTGAAAAAGTGGAGTTTGGGGGTCGGGCCAGTCTCTATTGGAATTAATCCCACATGTTCTGTTGTTCACTTTATGCGGTTTTCACTTTCCGCGGTACCCCATGGGTTCAATTGACCGCGTAAATCGGGGTACTACTGTAAATACTTCACTAGACGTTTGGCGCTAACTGTCAAACATGTCACTGTCACCTCCCCTTCCTCCCGCCCTCACCCACCCCCCCTCCCAGCAAGGGTTTGGTGGTTATACAGTGGGCTTTAAGTTTTTATCTTATATAATATCACAGACTAAAGTTAGAATATAATTTGCATTGCTGGAATCTTTGCAAGACAGTGAATAATTTGAATATAAATGTCATATATTTTGCAGAGGAGATAAAAATTTTAGTACATTAGTTTAGTACATTTTAGTGATGTAAAGTTTTTCAACTGCATTTTTGGGTTGATTTACATAAATTTCTTCATTTATTTTTATTCATTTACATGCACACACCATACTAAAAGAAACATAAAGGAAATAAATGACTTAAGTACAAACCTGTACTGTATATGTACTAAATGATTACGTACTAAAATTTTTATGTCTAGTGCAAATTATAGCTTGTTTATATTCAAATTAATCACTATCTTACAGGAATCCCAGCAATGTAAATTATATTCTCCCCGGTCATTTCAGTGCCATTTTATAATAGAAAAGCTTAGTCACTCTTAAGGACTGATATATAAACACATTAGACCTTCAGCACCAACTGTCAAACATATCACCTCACCTCCCGTTCCCTCCCCTCCCACGCTCCCTCCCTCCCTCTCCCCCCATCTGCCCAGCCAGGGTTTTAGGCTTACAGTTTTTATCTTATATAATATCTCAGACTAAAGTTAGAATATAATTTGCATTGCTGGAATCCTTGCAAGACAGCGAATAATTTGAATATAAATGTCATATATTTCGCACAACAGATAAAAATTAATCACCTGTATCACATTACAGTAGTGATTTAAAAGTAAGAGTGTGTATGTATGTGTATATATTGTGATTTAGGGGTGATTTAGGGGAATTTTAGGAGTGTTTCTGACTTTATGCATTTTTGGCTTTACTTTGTATGTACTTTTATGTGAGCTGGAACCAATTACCCAATATCCCATTGAAATAATGGATTCGGTTAAGGAAATTTTTGGTTAACGAATGACTCTGTGGAACGAATTGTGTTTGTTAAACGAGGGACCACTGTATTTATTTATCAATCAATTTTGATAATTTATGGAGCCTACTTTGCAAACATCATCAATAAAATAAATAGCAACAATTTAACAGACTAACATATCCATAGATAGATACTGTAACTTACTAGAAGTTATCGGTATAGGCTTTAGGATGAGTATTGGTATTGGAACACCTCTAATAAGGACCCTCCTGGAAATAAGCTTCTCATGGCTTTGTTGGCTATTTTTAGTCAAATTGCCTTACTGTTAATATTGTTGTACTGTACAGCATTGAAAATTGTATACCTTCACAGTCTAAGTACACTGTTCAGGGGGTCCCTGAGTTCTGTTCCTACAGACGTTCTTAAGTCAGAAATGTATGTACGTCAGAACACATATCCTAATTCCTTTTATACATCTCGAATAACTTAATTAAAGAGAAAAGAAGAAACTGAATGACAAAATACAGTAAAGGAAAGTAAAAATCAATGTTTAACATTACAGTACATTGAAACCTGGAGTTGGCTAATCTTCCACTACATATCACTAACAATCTTTCCATTTCACTTAACAATCCACTTCTTTGTTTTGTTCTCACAATTGAGTGCATTGGTGTAGATCCTTTTACATGTTCAAAAAAATTGTGTTTGTCTTTCAAAATTGTTCCAACCATTGAACGACTGAAACCCAACTCTTTACTGATAAGTGAAAGTGTTTTGCCTTTTTCAGAATGTTTAATTACATCAACTTTTACTTCCATTGTAATTGTTTTCCTTTTCTTGGATGCACTACTATCACTTGCATCAGGTTTGCATTTGGGAGCCATGATGAGGGCACAAAAATAGGGTTAATAAGAAAAAAACAACAGTGTTGATTTAAAGACAATAATCTTGAATTACACCTAGTGAACTTAAAATTTTATTGGTGAAATTACTGCATCAAGCATGGGTCCCCTGGCAGGTGATTTCTCCTCCATACCCACTTCCTTCTCTTTTCCCTTCTCCTCCACCCCCCACTTCTAATCCCCATCATCATCATCAACCAGGAACCTTCTACATACACACCTCAAAGTAAGTGTACTTCACTGCATTTTTTTTTTACTTTGTATGTACTTTTCGGTGAACTGGAACCAATTACCCAATATCCCATTGAAACAATGGATTCGGTTAACGAAATTTTCGGTTAACGAACAATCTTCTGGAACGAATTGTGTTCGTTAACCGAGGGACCACTGCATGTAGATGTCTGACTCCTGTGCACTAAAGTGTTTACTCTGAGTGAAAAGAGCTGTAATAATATACAGTAATACCCCGATTTACACGGTCAATTGAACCCACGGGGTATCGTGGAAAGTGAAAACCACGTAAAGTGAACAACAGAACATATGGGATTAATTCCAATAGAGACTGGCCCGACCCCCAAACTCCACTTTTTCCGACACAATACCCATGTTGTAGTAAAAATAACATCTTAATTTTATGATGGTATGCATACACAATTAATATTTAAGAGAAATACAGTCGCCAGGTTAATGTCCATTCAAATAATGGACTCAACTCCCTCCCCCCCCTCTCTTCCCAAGCTCGCTGGCTCCTCCCTCTCTAAGAAATGTTTGGGTGAAAACACTAGATTTTAAGGGATAGTAATAAATAATACCTCAGGCTAAAGTTAGGATAATATAATTGACATTTCTGGATTCCTTGCAGGTCAAGGAATATTTTGAATGTAAACTTTATATATTTTGCACAAAAGATAAAATATTTGCATTGTGTAAACCAAATTATTACATTAGATCTAAAATTTGTATGTCTAATGCAAAATCCATGATGTTTATATTCAAAATGATCATTATACCTTGTAAGAATTCCAGCAATGCAAATTATATTCTGGCCGGGTAATTTGTATGAATTTTATGAGCTAAATAAAAAAATTATACTTCACCCGCGTATATGAGTAGATGCACCGCGTAAAATGAAATTCCGGTTCTGGCGAGGTACCACGTAAATGTAGAATCGAGTAAAGCGAAACCGCGTAAATCGGGGTATTACTGTATCTAGTTTAACAACATTTACCTCACACATGCTCATCTTTAAGTATACAGTGGTCCCTCAGTTAACGAACACAATTCGTTCCAGAAGGTCGTTCGTTAACCGAAAATTTCGTTAACCGAAACCATTGTTTCAATGGGATTTTGGGTAATAGGTTCCAGCTCACCGAAAATTAAATACAAACTAAAAATAAATGCAGTAAAGTACACTTACTTTGAGGTGTGCATGTAGAAGGCTCCTGGTGATGATGATGATGATGGGAATTAGAATAGGGGTGGAGGAGAAGGGAGAAGAGAAGGCATTGGGGTGGAAGAGAAGTCACCCCATGCCGCCATTTCACCCATAAAATTTTAGTTCACTTGGTGTAATTCAAGATTATATTCTTTAAATCAACACTGCACTGCATTATATATTGTCAATATGTAAAATAAACTTCAAAATGACCAATAATTTGACTGGAAACACAGAAAAAAAGCATTTATGTTGAAGAGTCTCAAACAAGATGTTCCTTCCTCTGAGCTAGTAAACAAACTGACACCTAGCTTGGTGTTGAGTGGCTGTTTGGCACGCAAAAAACTAGTTTCCTGTACTTCAATTACGTACAATAATTGTTAAAATGACTAAAAAATTTAATTTAAAACTTTTAAAATTATTGAATAGTACAACCTTCTTGATATTTACTAAAATGGTAACGAATTTAAGCCCTAGAACCGATTACTGTATTGGCAGACTAATACTACAGCTGGTGAGCAGCCAAGTGCAAGCGAAAACATGTTTGGAAAAATTCATGAGGAATTCGTTAACCGAAGTGAAGAATCTTATAGAAGGTAATTCATTAACTGAAATTTCGTTAATCGAGGCGTTCATTAACCGATGGATCACTGTACAGTACATACTTGTATACTACTGTACTGTATCATATATCAATATTTACAGAGTAGAAATTTTTTTTTTTTTTTGCTCATCAACATTGGATTCAAGATTATTTAAGGAAAGAAAGACAAGCTTCCATCAGCATATTTGATGAATGGAATTCTACAGGAGTAGGGTATTTTTCAGGTGATTGCAATTCCTGAAAAAAAGTTAACAAAAATGAGTCTTTTTTTCTAATCCTAGGACGGTGCCCTTCTCTCTCCTTTCATTTCAGGGATGATAAACCTTAAAGTTGGATCTGCCACTGCTGGTTTCATACATACATCACCATTAATGTTCAATGGCCATTTTCCACACTTGTGTGGGTCAGCCATGATTACTCTTGATGGCAACTGTTGGATGAAACCAGAACAGGTTGTCCTCCCTTCACTCACCACCGAAAACCCAAGATGCTGGCCCAGAAATTGCAGCAAAGAACAGGGGATGGGCACAGCCCTGATGACTTATAAGGCAAGTTGAGTAATAATGTTTTACAGCTGGATGCTCTTCCTAACCTCAAACCACAATGTATTCTGCTGAACTAATATTAAGAGTCAAAATAAATCATAGAACAAATAATATGGAATTTTAACATACCAATAATCTTGTTCCACTGGTCAATGTGATCTGTGCCAGGAAAAAGGACACCACCTCGGATCATTTCTCCCATGATGCACCCGACAGACCAGATGTCTACGTTTTCTGTGTATCCCATACCTAAAATAACCTGCAATATATGGTTATAAGAAGCTGATAGACCATCAATTTTATATTTACTTACTGACATAGAAATACAATGGAGTTAAAAAGTTGTTGCAAGTGTTATTGTACCACAAAAATTATAAAAACATAAATGCTGAAAGGTGAGAGTCACAAAACTACAACCATATGGGCAGCTAGCATGCTGAGAAAGGACGATACAATTAAGTAAGTTCAAGATTATTCTGAGAATTAAACATTTTCTGGCAGTGCACAATTTACAAGTACTGTACTGCATTAAGACAACTACTTCCCCACTGTTACTGCATGCAGGGGTAGATGCAGGAATATCAAAATGGGGGGAACCAAGAAGTTGTGGGTGGGGTAACATGGAGCACACAATGAGCCCACCCAGCTGGGAGGAGGCTGTAAGCCCCCCACAGAAATTTTTTTTAAATCTGGCCAATATCAAGAGCATTTTGAGGCCATGTGCACTTGATATTAGGCAATATTCTGAGGTCAGTAGTAATTACTTTTTACTATACAAAAATGCCTGAGTACAATACTGCATTAAAGAAAAAGTATTGGGGTTTTCTGATAAAAGAGGGGGTCAAGACCCCCTAAGACCCCCATGGAATAGCACCCTGTCACGTAAGACACTAGCTGGAAATATTGCATCAAGATAATTCTGTTTTTATTAGATCTAAGAGCTTATGACAAAGTCTTTTACAGTGAAACCCCCACACTGTATATCAGACTTCTCTCCATATAATCCATTAACTGGAGGGTTTCACATCAATGGAACCTCAATATAATCGACTTTCTTCTCCATATAATCCATTACATAGAGATATCACTTGAACATTTTTTTTTTCAAGAATCTTTGGAATCATTGTTGTCCAATTTGAGATATATCCAATATTAAATGAAGAATTTTTTTTAAGTTTGCCAACTGCGGTCTTTATTCCAAATGGTTTATCTGTTTTTACCAAAAACGTAAATCCTGTTTCCAGTTCCTAAACTGAAACACTATCAACAAGGTCCTTTTGGTCAATAACTTCAATGGTTAATCTTCATACAGGAGCTAACCCTTCTATGGGCCATTTCTCCCAAGATAATAAAACTTGTCACATTAACACACTCATCTACCTCCATATAAAAGTACTACCACTCAGTATATTGATGGATTAAGTTCCTGAAAAACCAGTTGTTAAGTGAATTTTCGTATATCGAATAGAATAAAAAAGAAAACCCCCAAAACATGAAATCAGTTTACGACGAGAAAAAACCTACCTAATTCAATATACAAGTAAATAGTATGCAAATAGTGTAATTTATTACCTAACATATTAATAAAATACTACTGTATCTTGATGAAAATATGCAGCTAAAACCATTAAGGAAAAGCTAAATTAAAGCTTAACACAGTCGCCATTTGCACTGACGATGGTTGCGTCACTCGTGGCTGTCCTCAAGCCTTGCCATAGCAACCCAGCCTGGCTGGGGACACGTCTCCCTCTCGACCTTTAGCAATACTCCCCCTAACACACACACAAATAAATGTTTATTCCCTTTATGTTTTGACATGATGATACCTTTTGTTTACTTTTTTTTTTTTGCAAAATATGTACAGTGAATCTCTTTGTAATTAATTTTTTCTGCCAACCTACATCACATATGAATTTCCCTACCAGCCATAAAATATGCACTCAGCTTGTTAGATCCTAAGTTATCACTGGAGAAATATGAAGACATGACCCAAACCCAACAACATCCCCTTAAAATTTGCCTAGTTTATGGAGTGTGAGAGTAACTAACTCAATTCTCAGCAAGAACAGAGTACTGGGTTTTCTCCTAGTACACTAAACCATGCACATTCCCCAATGAAATAGGTACACTATTAATTAGCTCTGCCAATTTTCCAAAAGCTGCGCTATCCACGACAGAAATTATTGGCATAAAATATATTTTCAATATTTTTTAAATATCTATAAATAAAAAGAACATTAAAATCACCAACAGTGTGCCATACAACTTCAAAGGCAATGAAAAAAGTACAGTACAGTACATATAGGCCTAAAGTATAGGGCAAATGCACAATAACTTGTTCTATCAGACCCAGACATTTGATGCAGTGATGGGCAACCTAGGCTAGTGATTGGGTATATGAGTGGGCATCCTTCATCACTGTCAACCCCATGACTGGGCATCCTTCATCTCAGTGGGTCATAAGACTGAAATTGGGCATGTACACATCCCATGACCTAAGAATAAGCTTAACTACACTTAATACGGGCTAATGACCTACTTGACCTACTTGTAAAAAACTGATCACATGAACGAACAATTTTCTAAATTGAAAAGTTAAATTCGAAGATACTAACACCTACTGCTGTGCTCTATTTGTTTAAAAATCTGTCAATCACTTGCTTGACAATAATTATTTCCAATTCCAGAATAATCAGAGATACAACTTAAGGCACCCAGAGCTACTAAGACCACCCCCCCATGTGCTCCTCTCAGTCCCAGACCTCCATAAAATATCACGGTGTGAAGGTGTGGAACAACTTACCCCCACCCATCCGAGCAAAGACTACGCTCCCTTCCTTTAAATCATCTCTTAAAAAATATCTATTGTCTCAGTATTAATATTTTTTTGTAATTCCTACTTTATGTACCTGCTTTTATTGTACCACTAAAACCGTTATATCATAAATTGTCATGTAGATGGAAAGAAATTATCATTGCATTAATTATAGTTGCCGATTAGACAAGGATACTGACAGCTCTGTCCTCTTTTTCCACATTAATATAACCCATGTTGTACTGCTTCCCTTGCTTATCATATTTATATATTTCAACACCAATGTAAAATATGTATATACTTGTACTACAGGTTGACAACCCTTTATCCGAAATTCCGAAAACCGAAAAGCTCTGAACACCAATTTTTTTTTTTTTAACAGGGATTAGCCGATCGGGGCCTGGGGGCAAAAATGTAATAGTAATAATAATTATAATAATAATTATTCATAGTAAATAAAAAATTTAATACAAAATACACCCAAATAAAATAATAATGATAATAATAATAATAATAAAATATAATAATAAAATTAATAATAATAACAATAATACTGTGATAATAAAATAATAATAATTAAGAAATACACGAATGAAAAAAAGATAAAAAGTGAGAAACACGACCTAGACCTAAGAATTATTATTATTATTATTATTATTATTATTATTATTATTATTATTATAATTATTATATTTTCACCCCCCAGGCCCAAATGTGGGTCAGTGACTTGTGCCCGGGTGGGCTAATACACACACAAAAAAAACTAACCATTCTGTAAACCGAAAAATTCCGAATTCTGAAATGCCTCTGGCCCCAAGGATTTCGGATAAGGGATTGTCAACCTGTATACTTATAATGTAAATGTAAAAAATAAATAAATAAATAAATATTGAATTGATAACCGTGGTAACATTCTGATATGTTCTTACTACCACCATGCTATGTGTACTATTCCAGATGATACTAAATGTTACATAATACTTACCTGAGATAAATGTACAGTATATATCGGGGGCCTAAAAGAGAGCTCAGGATCTCAATGGGCTTAACCATATTAATATTATGATTTTTAATTGATTCTGTATCTGTTTCTCTGGCTAAATAAACTGTTTCAATATCAATATAAATTAATATCAATATCAAATATACCATGGCCAAATCAATGTGCTTCTTGTATGATTCTATTGTGTGTGTGTGTGTGTGTGTGTGTGTGAGCAACATTCAAGCAAAATGTCTTGTGGGCCTAACTCAGATGTCTGGTGGGCCACAGGTTGTCCATCAATGATGTGTAGTGATGAAGCACATCCATATAAAGTGTAAGTACTGGACAGAATCTTTAACAACTACACAGTTGTGGGATGAGAACCAAAATTTAATATACAGAAATATCCTGAAAACAGCCAAGAAATAAAGACTGTCCTGAAAACATTTAAGATTTGATTTCCTGAATTCAAAATCATTAAGGGGAAAGCTCTTGTGGGACGAAAAATGTTGTGGAGAAAGTTTCTGGTAACTCAGCATCAAGACTCTATAGATTAAAAGAGTTTGCCCTGAGAATTTCAGCAATACAGGTTGTTCATAAAAGAGCTGAACAATTTGATTCTTTAATCATTAATATTTTCCATACGAATTAAGACAAAACTAGAACTATGTGTAAACGATAGAGTAACTATCAAAGTTTATTAATAATCAGTTTGTTTGATTACTGACTGATTGATTGAGGATTAATTTTACTGATATCACTGGATTGGTTGTGATGGACCTATCCTTTGGCCTCCAAGATGACTGGACTTATACCATTGGATTTCTTCCTCTGGGGTTTTGTTAGAGACGTTGTGTACAAGACCAAGTTTGTCAACATCCACGGACTACGAATCAGGGTCAGGGATGGGTGATGCTGGCAAGCTTGAACGTACATGGCAAAAAAGTGAAGATTGATTGAGTGTTGTAAGGTGACCAATGGCGCACATGTTCAAGTGTATTAAACATGTATGAAAAACTTTAATAGTTGCTCTATTGCTTACACTTAACTTTAGCTTTACTGTATTAGTATAGAAAATATTAAAGAATCAAATCATTCAGATCTTTTATGAACACCCTATATATCAGGCAAGGTTAAGTAGGCTTATTATATTCACATCTTACAAATGACCCCTGAATTATGAACTAATCAAAAGCACTTGATAAAGGTTTATTATTCTTAACCTAAAACAATTCACTATGAACTGTAATGAAAATGTTGACCTGAATCTTAAAAGAAAATAATAATAATTTCTACACATCACACAAATCAAAAAAAATTTCAATTGACAAACACTGAGGACAACAGGAATGACAAACATTGATTTATAAAGAAGTCCAAAGTAATTTTGACACATACATACTCGTATATAATCTTAAATGTATTAATCACCACATAAATACGACATATATTAAGAGCACTA